ATTCAGCCCCAGACACCTGCAATGGGGTGCACACTGAACAGAGCCAGGGGTTTCCAGGCACTGCTGATACGAAACCCAGAACCACAAGCCAAGCTTCTTACTCAGCTCTTTGCCTTTCCTTATAAACAAGAGAGCGCTGCTAGTAAGTGTCTGACAACGTGATGAGGCTGACGCATGAGGCTGGGGTGATGGTACAAATGGAAATCATCAACATGTTTCACAGACAGTTACGCAACTCAAACCCCTGAGTCCAAGCTTGTCTGTATGCCTGGAATGTATTTGGCACCGTTTCCTCAGCCCGGAAGGGGGCAGGCAGGAGAAAATGCATGCGGAGTGTTGAGAGGGGGCAGAGAGGAAACATAAAGGGGGATGTGGACCGGAAGGAAGGAGTATATGTTGCAGAGGGGAGTTATGCTGGATCACTGCAGGCAGGCAGGTGTGGAGAGACGAGGTCATTCTCTGCCCCTGGTGTCTGCATTTGGCAAGGAGCAGAGACGCATGGTCTCAAATGAAATATCTCCCCCTCCCCCATTTAACCCACAGAATCTTCTAGTTGCGTCTGAGTCACTCTTGCTCCAGCTCCCTTTCTCCTTGTTTTTGATGGAAGTTTTCCATGGAAACCCATGCTGGGCTGGGCCACTAGCGGGGATAAACACATGGCTGAATCACAAAGGCCACTCAGCCAAGAGCTGTCAGCTGGTAACAATAGCATGTGCTACATAAAGACACCAACTCTGAAAAAGCCAGACTCTAGCTGCAACTCCAGTAAACCCAAAGGGAGGGTGGGCCACCAGGCTGCACTCTAGGGGAGATACGGCCCTAGAACCATGTCTCCTCTGACCAGAGACCCCCTGTGCTCCCGTCTCACAGCAGCCCTCTTCCAGGAGTACAGCAGAGAAGCAGCATTTCATGGGCCCTTTGTGCAGAGACATGTTGGGGCAAAAGACTCTTTCCCAGCACAAGATAGAACAAAGGAAGGCAGGACACTCCAGGCCTGACCCCTTCTGATGCAAAATAGGGGTCTGTGCACCTGGCTCTTAACTGAACCCAGGTAAACACAAAACAAAACCCAAGTCTTTTATTATGTATTTCTATGTTAGCATTATGTTGTGCTTGCAGAAGTGCCTTGGGAAGGTGGCTAAATCAGTCTTAGGCTCCATTGTGCTAAGAGCTGCACAAATTTGTACTTTCTCTGATGTCCAGGGTGATGCAACTAAGAGCTGATGTGCATAAGGACAAGGTAATACAATTTTGATTGAGTCATTTTTCTTTTAGATGGTCTGCTTTTTAGGGCAGGACTAGGTGGCAGAATCCCAGGACAGAAAGGAGCGAGTCATGTCACAGACCATAAGTAGCTAAAAAAAAAAAATAGTTCCGCCTCAACTGTGGCAGAGACAAGGCACAAATCCCTCCCCTCCTCTGGCCTGCCTCTACCCTTCAGTATTGACATCTGTATGAATTCCCAGCTGCTTGGAAACATAGAAAGTTGGGTTCCAGTTTAACAGAATCCATGATATTTTTAAGAACTCTTTGGGAAGCAAAATTAGCTCCACTGTGTAAGTTATGGCTTAAAGCCCTGATGGAAAAATAAAGCTGGAGCCCCTTCTCTCCTGCGATGATTGGGGGGTGGGGAGGGACAGCCAGACCTAATGTCCATGGGTGGCATTCTGAGTTGCTCTCCCCACTTTTGCAGTCCTTTCAGTGTCCATGTGCATGTGCTGCATGTTGTCTGGATAATCCCTACCTTCCTTTCCATGAAGGGCCTTCAGGTAGGGAAGTGATTTGAAGATCCTAAAGATTTTCCTTCCTCTGAAAAATACATCTAGAGTCTGATTCAACCCATTCTAGCAGATGAAATCCCTCCCACTGGTTTGACTGGGTCTTGGATTGGCCCATAAAAGAACAGGCATGATTCAGTCTTTAGACCAGTGGTTTTCAACCGTTTTTTTCATTTGTGGACTCCTACAAAATTCTGAATGAAGATGCAGACTCCTTTGCAAATCTTAGACATAGTCTGCGGCTCCCCAGGGGTCCATGGACCACAGGTTGAAAATCAGTGCTTTAGACAAGAGCTTGCTTGTGTTATCATGGGGTTTGTGCTGGAGAAAACACTAATGTTCCCAGGGAGGGGAGGGTACAAAACCCCTAAAGCCTTCACCCTCTTCATGATCCCCTTGGGTATCTAAGTCACTACCTCAGTCCACGGCCAGGCCTTAGCTGAGTGCAAATTCACTGTTACAGAAAGGTGGTTTGGGGATCTGGGGCAGTGGGTTTAGACAGAGTCAAGGCATCCACATGTTTGCTGCAAATAATTTAGTGGCAGATGCAACCAGATTGCAGTTGCTCAGTTTGACACTTGGAGGTTGAGTTTAAGAACAGGACTGTTATGGGAGGGAGAAAATCTCAAATTGCTCTCTGGAGCAGCCTTGGGGCCCTTCATGTCTGGAATGGTTTGATAACAACTTGGCCACCTCTTATCAAGTTTAATGTCAGGGTTGAGCAATACCCAGAAGACATGATCCACCACAGAGAGCATCACACAGGGTAGCATCAGAGCCCCAGTTCATGGTTCACCTCAGTGGGAGAGACACACAGGCTTAGCTGTCCGGTAGGTGAGGCATGAGAGCTGGACAGAGACGATATCTGGCTGGTTTGGACAACATTGCGAAGCTGTGGGTGTAATGTATTTCCTCTTTACAGCTCCTCTGTGACAGAAGCTAGAATAGTGCTTGCCATCTTCAAACCCACCAGGCCCCACGCAGAAGACGGTTGTTCTTCTCCAAGTAGTTGTCCTTATGGGTGCTCGTCTTTGGGTGCACCTGGGTGTCCGTGTGCCTTTGGAGATTTTCAGCAGCAGTGTCCAAGTCTATACCCTACGCATCCTCATGTGCCAGTCTGAGGACATAGAGGGAAGGGTAGACTTGCCATCCATCACTCCAGTTCCTTCTCAGCTGCCTGTGGCCTGAGACAGAGCCTTGTGGTGTCCCCACAAGGTAAGCTTGCTAACTCACTTTTCTGACTCATGCTATCGAAATGGGTCTTGGGCTGTATTCTGTTATGCCATGTCCTGGTCGTACCCTGCTCCTTGGGTTACAGCTCATGCTACTAGGGCATGGTCCACAGAGGGCTCTGCTTAAGAACCATTTTGGACATCTGTAAGGCTGCAGGTGAATGTCTATCCACACCTTTTCCAGGCTCTATGCTAGCATCCATAGTTCCAGAGCAGATGCTGTCCTCCAATCAGTGTTAGACCCTACTCCTCGGCATCCGCTGCAGAGTCTGGGCACGGCTCAGGAGACACATGACGTGGCGCACCCATAGGCCCAACTATGTGAAAACAACGGAGCTGTTCTGTCGCTAGTAACTAGGGTTCTTCAAAACGTGTTGTCCCCACGGGTGCACCCCCCACCTGCCCTCCTTCCCTTCTGCTTCAGTGTCCTGGTGTCTTGTTGAGATGGAACGACAGGGTGGTAGGGCCCTAGACCAGAGCATGAGGCTGGGTCAGGGCCGCTGTGGACCCATGGGACCCTACAAGCATAAACTCTCCAAGCAATGACACATGGGCTTGTGGGCACCTCAAGTGGAGCCCCAATAAGGACAGAACGTCTCAAAGAACTTGTTACTGTACAAGTAAGTAACCACCATGGGGAAACTGAGGCAGCGAATGCAATGAAATGACGGACCTAGGACCTGTAGTCAGTGGCAGGGACGAATGAGAGCTGAGCCTTGCAGACTCCAGCGCCGTGCGCAGCCCGTGCGGGGGCCCTGCTCTGCCCGCGCGCTGCCCGCATGACGGGACCGGGGCTCTGAGCCGCAGGAGCGGCACCGCCAGCCGAGAACTCCCCCCCCCCGCGCGCCCTTCCCGGCCTGGGGGGGCCACAGGCGCGTGCGCAGGTGACCCGTCCGCACAGCGGCGCCCAGGCAGCGCGC